AATCGACATTAGACAAATTTCAACGTAAGTGCAATAATATGAAGCAAATATCGAGTTTCTATAACTTCATTATATATGCTAGTATTATCAAAATAGAATTACTGACCACTACACCACAAGGATTAAATCGCAAATGTTTAGGATACATTTTTTTGTCATCACATTTCTTTCTTTCGACTAATCAAACTCTCAGTATTCGTTTAAGTTTGCCAAGATTCCAAGTTTTCAAAATATGGATACTTTACGTTAAATAGGGTGTCTTTTTCGTTTATCTACACCCTAAGAACTACATGTATTATTAACAGAGACCCATATTAATAACAACAAACAAATCCGGGAAACAAATATATATAGCTTTAAAAAGCTATAAATAAACATGCAATTAGTTAAAATAAATGCAATTACAAGTAGATTACAAAAGCGGGGTAGAAAAAACCTCGGTGCAGTAGGGCTGAACATCTTAAAATTTGGACAATGTCCAATTTTTTTCGAATAGCAACATACAACCGTGAACAAAAAGTCTTCTATTTTAGTACAATTAAATTGTAACAAAGCTTCCCCTGGATTAAAAGATTTAATAAAATATAAGCGATAACGCTTTTTTCGATCTTTTTAAAGGTAAAAACACTGCGATCGTCAGTTCTCGAGACAGTAACTTGTAAAATAACTCAATTTCCTATACCGATCTCCGAGGTCCTGCAAAGTGCTACTATTACCGAGAAACAAAAAAAAGTCAGTTGTGGACGAAGAACTAGAATGATGGAACATGTCATGTTAGGTTTATTATTTGAGCGATTCCGTTACGAGCAGTCCGTCAAGAATAAAAAAAGTGGCTACCCTCAACAATAGAGTTAAATAGCGGTCATTAATTTTTGCTTCCAGGAAACCTCGGTGTCTATTTATTTCGAGAGTGATTTCATGGAAAACGTGCCTTGATACCGTGATGTCTGGAAACTGAAAAGTGTTTAATGGCCGGTAAGTTGAAAATGACAGAATAGCTATGGATCGCCAAAACTGGGGAAAATTTCATAGATAATTTAAGAATCAAGTTGGTATGAACCCTTCTTAGCTCAATGAGGTCTGCGCAAATGGACATGTTAAAGCATGTTTACAAAATTGCTATTGTCAAAACAGGAGTCAGTATAGGGAAAAACCTTAGAAGGTGACTTTCTGGATATGTGCTGAATCGATCCTTTCGGGAGAGGATAGCTCTTCATGAAAATAAAGGTAAAGACTGACCAAGATTGCCCTAACACACTGGGATATTCCGCTCACTTAAGCACCAAATTATACGCGTACGTCAACAACATCAAGGAATTACGCAATTCAAAGTAATACATAAATTCACCAAAAGGAAACGATCACCAATATTTTAGCCTAAGTCTTCAAAATAAGTAATTTTTCTCATAAAAATTACTCTGAACCCTTGAACCGAGTGATCTATATATTTCAAAACAGAATCTTTTATCCGGCTTTACCAACTGTGAATAACTGACAGCGGACTTTAACTTATATGGGGTAAACATTCGTATCTTTAAATGAACTGAAGGAATATGATGAATACAATTTCTAGAAAGACATGAACAAACTCTAAAATCGTGTAGCAAAAAAAAAAAAACAAAACAACAAAAAAAAAAACAGGTGATCAAAACTAACTATTGTAGGTAATAAAATCTACCAAAAAATATCAAACTTGCTAAGGAAGTTAAAGATATTCACCACTTACATAAGACGTAGCACTTAGTCCTTACGGTCGAGGAACTTGATCAGGTAACGATAAAAACAACGCTTTTCAGATCAGTTTAACAACTTATCTCGTGGCCAGGTTTACCAAACTGAGCCTAAATCTTTGGTTTGGATGGAACTATATATTTCTAATGGCACATCAATCATGTCATGATCTGCAGCTGAACGTTAAGAGCCAATGACTGTAATGACAGCAATATCAATTTTTCAGATCCTTTTCTTAATTTTAGCTTTATTTAAAGGCACTTTCATCCTTCTCCTAAATTTCGAATATACCACGTACCGAAATTACAAAGAGAAGTCAGGCGGCATCATTTCTCTACAAATTTGACTTACGCAAATTTGTGAAATTTTGCCAATGTTGATCACGAAACGTTTGATTTTCTAATTTGTAAAGGCGAATCCAGAGTGCCCAGACTTTTTATTTCATGCTCTGTTAATACAAGAGCTGAACTTTGTCCAAGTATACATTTTGGCTAGGTATCACACATACCAAGGTGAGTTTTTTGCCTCTGAAGTTGCTCATTTTTTTACCCATTGTAAAAAGTGCGCTTGGTGGTAGGTTTTAAAACCGTGAAAAATTCAAAATCACGTTTATGGTTTAAAACATACATGGATACAAAGAAAAGATAGAATGCTTTTAAAAAAATATATTTCTACTTTATTGCTTTGAATCTTCCCTCGGCACAGACACGATAAAGTAGGTAATTTTTACTCTAATTTTTGCATAATTAATTAGGTAAAAACAGCTATTTTCGTTTTTCCTCATTTTCTCGAAAACTATAGATTCTTGAAAGCTAAATTTTTTTTTGAAGATAGTTCTCCAAAGGGCTTTTTCTGACAAATTATCAGAATTTTCGATTTTTTTAGCCTGGCCAGCGATTCTCGATATCTACAGTCATGGGCGAGTTAAATATAGAGGATATTACACGGTGGCGCGAAGATATGAAAATATTGTTTTTGCCACGAGAAACTAAAATTCATATCTTCAAGCCGCCATGTAATGTTCTTTTTATTATATAGACAAAAGACATCGATAAAATAATAGAGGGAAATTACCGGAAATTACGTCATCGATAAACTCACGTGTGAGATTATGGAAAATAAACCACTCGGGTCCCGGATGTAGTTTTTATGAATTTTACGAGTGGTATATTTTCCAGTAAAACACTCGTGTCTATATAATAAAAAGTTCTAAAAAATATCCTGGAATGAGACATGGAATGAGACATGTCAGCCGATACATGACTCCACTAAAATGGTTGTAGTCAGTTGGAAGTCTAAAAATTTTAGCCTTTGTTTTTTTTAAGAGATAATACTTAAAATTTTCATCAAACAGCAAAAGGCTCAATATTACTCATGTTTGTGGCTCCTTAATGGAGTTGAACAACAAGTTTCATTAGCTATTTCTTTTGCAGTACAAGCCTTCATACACGAGTGTAGCTAAATGTCGTGTGTCGAGGGTGTAGGTAAATGTCGTGGGTAAAAAGGTATTGAAAAAAATGATAAAGTAAAGTAATTGCAAAAAAAATAATTATAATGAATAGAAAAAAGTTGTAAAATATTCATAAAACAAAAATCTCCGACTTCCTGATTGCCCTTTTCATGGCTTTTCTTCGTCCTCTTTCTGATATTTCCTTAGCCACGTGGGACTTGGGTCCCCTGCCGATGAAGATTTATCCACACATGAGCGATCGCCGCGAAAATAAACGAAACAGACCTAAAATATGTCGGAACGTGCAATTAGCAGAAAGTATGGGACAGCTCTGACTCGCTGAATGGAAATAGCTGTTTTCTATATTTAATCTTTATTCGATCTACAATTCCAATGATCAGCGCAGATTTTTTAACACGATGGAATGCGATCACCGCGGGAAAGGGGAGGGGAAGTGAAGAGGGGAAAGGACAATTTTGTGCTATTTCATATTTTTGGATAGAAGTCTTTCTTAAAGAAGTTTTAGGTCTCTCAGCTTACGAAGGAACCACCTTCATGCTCAACCTTTCAAGTTAAGGCTAGCCTGTATGTAAATTTTATTGCCGTACGGAAAAATAATTTTATCGACCCTTTTTTGTTTTGTTTTGTGTACAAAATTTCTGTTGTAACGATTCTGAATATCACTTCTTAAACTGAAATGACGTTTCAGTCACGAATGTTGACATCTTTGAGAAAAAGCAGTTCAGTCTCCTGTATTTCTTTAGCCTGCTTCAGGTTTACAGTAGGGTACAGAGTACTTTTTGCCTAAATGCCTTTTTAGTGTCCTTTTGTACTAAAGGATTCGCCTATTTGCTTTGCTGACCCCGGGGAAGAGGAATACTAGGACTCCTGGAATGTAAGCAGAGATTTTCGTTTCATGAATTTTACAACTTTTTGTTATTTAATTTTTAATTTTAATTTTTTCGGGAAACCTATTATATATTATATATTATTTAAATTATTCTGGTACAAGGTTTTTGTCCACTGAAAATTAAAATTACTCAATTTTCTGATGGAATCCTTCTTAATCTCTGTTGTTAAGCGTACGATCGACTATATATATATATATGGCTAGTTTGAGAATGCGTACATAACCATCGTTGCTTTGATTACTGTGTCAGTCCGCTCGAATGATCGATCTGCTATAGTGAGGGGTTTCCCCGAGGGGTTTCCCGAGGAAACCTTTGAAAAAAAGTGGGCGGAGTGTAACACCAGCCTCAACCCCACCGTAGCTAGTTGAAGTCTATTTTGTTGGGAATTGAAACATCTCATCTTGTACGTGCTTGATCAGTTTGATACTCTAACACTTCTGTTACATTCTGCAAAGAAATTAAATCACAGATTTTTTACAGGAGTCCTTATTTTCCGTCAGTTGAACTCTAAGACCATCCCTTGCTAAATTGTTTTTTTCCTTCGCGGTTTCTCTGTTAGTTTCAGTTGTTTCCTTGTTAAACATGTGGCTTTCGTTCTTTGACTTGGTGTACTGTAGCAACAAGACAGCCGCAGCATCACAATATCCTCAAGGGGAAAAAATCTTCTCCTTCTCTGATGACGACAAAGTAATTCTTTGAAATGCTGTCTGAATCTTTCACTTTGTAAAACGTAAATCAAAGGATTCACTGCTGAATTAAAGGTTACCATTACAACAGAGGCCATGTAGGCAAATTCTCCAAATTTAATACCAGTTTCGTAGTTGCCTAAAATTAAGATACACAACGAGCTGTGGAAACCAGCTTATTACGGAAATGACACTGACTATTAAGGCTACTTTGGTGACTTTTTACCTTGATCTACGAACGGCTATTTGGACGAACTCGTTCGTTTTCTTAAACCATAAGTTACAGACGACTCTAGAATACAAGGATATCATGATAACGGCTGGTATAATACCAACAACCATTAGCCAGAAAGTTGAGTTGATTTTTCCTGAAGTAACCGAGGGCCACGACTCTAAACAAAACTTTTTGTCTACGTTATAGTAAATAACAAAAAATAGTGGAAGATTAAAGGCAGTAGTGAAAATCCAACAGCAAACGATAATGATTTTTACTTTTGTCACTGAAAAATTCGACGCCTGACTGTAAGGGTTTATTACCGCATTGTAGCGCTCGAAGGAGATCGTGACCAAAGAGAACACAGAAGCTACACTTCCAATCCATGAAATGTTTCCACCAGTGATAAACTTGCAAAGAAAGTCACCAGTGGTGCCTGTTGGATGTTTAAACAAGTGTATAAAGATGTACTGCGGGCCAATGAATGTCAGCGTTATAATATCAGCGACGGCTAAGTTGACGAAAAGATAGTTGATCGGTGTCTGCATAGTCCTGTAAGAAAAAACCACGAGACAAACCAAGATGTTTCCAATGAGGCCAGGAAAAACCAAAACTGTGAAACAGATGGTTAACGTGATTTCTCCAGAAGTCGACATGGCCCGTACCGTGTCTGTTTTGAATAAATAAACATAAATACAAATAAATTAGACTGAGGTTATAACACAATAGAAGCAGAACCGTGAAGCTCTCACGAAAACTAAGAAAGCGTTACTAACGGTCGAATGATATGATGCCTTCAGTTAAGACAATAGCATAGCCGAAATATAGGCCTAATTTACTCTTATAAATAAGCTAAAGGGTGTGAAAACGTTTTAGTATATACTACTATAGTGTTTTTCGCGCGCTCTGAATTCACTGATTCATCTCCAGTTCCTCCGAACGAGCGACGCCAAGCTCGCGTAAGTTTAAAGCAAAATGCCTTCCCGGTTTGCTGCCGTAACAAACAAAGAAATTTCACAACTAATAAAGCAAGCTGTTCCCGAAATACACGAAGAAGGTGTACTAGCCACCTCCACTTCGGTGAATAGTTGTTATGATATTAAACAATATTGGTTCAATTTAGTAACATTTGACAATGCAACTGCCAGAAATGATAGAATCTGGTAAGAAAAAAATAATGGATGATACAAACGGAAATCTCGATTACTGATATATTTTTCTGAAACGTACTAATCTTGAACGATAGACAAACGTGACCTAGTTAGCCTCCATCCTTTTTTAGTGTATTTTATTCGTATGGATAAAGAAGATTGAAGTTTCTCGATCGTGACGTACGTAATTGATGTGAAAACCGTGGGAATAAGATAAACAAATTTGATAAAAAAGAAGGAAATGTAATTTGTTTGTCCCCGAAACACTTAAGATTAATCAAGAAATTGCTTAAAATTGATCGTGCGTTTAAGATCGAAGTGGAAGTTGGAAATGTTGTTGTTTTTTTTTTAGGAGAGCGAAAAACCGGAGCGCCCGCAGAAAAGCCTCCGGCAATGGAACTGGTAAAAGAGCCAACAAGATAATATGCTTTATGTAATGTCGAATTAAGCATTGCAACAAGGAATCTATTTCTAGCACTGGCTACAAAAGATAACGAAGTATTTTGATGTCCAACATTTTGTCAGTACTCAAAATGCGCTTCGTTAATAAAACTGTGGATACGAAACGATTAACATTATTCAAATTCTAACGAAACTGCAATAACAGTTAGTTATATAGTTATATGATAGTAGTTATATTTGCTAGTATTTTCATAATATAATTACTGACAACTATACTACAAGAATTAAATCGCAAGTATTTGATACATTTTTTGTCATCATATTTGTTTCTTTCGATAGGAGACCAATGAACTCTCAGTATTCGTTTAAGTTTGCCAAGATTTCAAGTTGTCAAAATATGAATACTTTACGTTCGATAGGGTGTCTTTTTTCCTACCTACACCGTAAGAACTATTGTTAACAAAGACCCATATAGATAATAACAAACAAATATACATAGCTTTAAAAATATATTAATAAACATAGTCAAAATATATGCAACTGCAAAGCAGATAAAAAAAGCGGGGAAGAGAAAATGTCGGTGCGGTACGGCTGAGCAATGATTTATATAAAAATTTGGACAACGTCCATTTTTTCGGTTAACAGCAACCTGGAATACAATCGTGAACAAAAAGTCTTATTTTAGAACTTACTAAATCTTACTAAATGTTAACGGTCTTAAAAGAGAACAAATCATCAGTTATAATACAAACAAGTTATCTGTCCATTTTCGACGTAAACTTGTTAAATTTTTTCCCTTTTCCTGTAGACAGTTGATTAAAAATTGTATTACATAGTTTTTCTTCGAAGAAGTAAAGTTCATAACGTTTCCTCATGAAGCAAAAAAAAAAAAACCGAATCAAAACTCCACCAATTAAGAGTGGCTCGGCCTGTGAGGACCGAGGATCGGCGGTCAGCGACCCATTTGGCAAATCCCTGATATTTTGCCCAAAGATACCCTTAGGCAGACTGTTTTCAAAATCAAATTCAAAAGTTTCAGAGATTTTGTTTGTTTCTGAAATTCGCAAAAAACTAAAACTGCGTTCAAGGTGCAGTTTTTCGCTTGATCAAATGTCTAAAATAAGGTGCGAGATCAAACTTTCGCTGCAGTCTTAAAATGAAATAATTTGACCCCAAAAGAAACAGAGCTTCAAAACAGTCATTACTCTACGCAACCAATGTTTCAAACTTTTAAAGATGACAAGACTTTCATTTTTCAAGCCATTTTGAAAACGCCTTCGGGGACCCCTTTAAAGGCAGCAAACTGTAGCTAATTTTAATCATAAGAAAAATTCTCCTGGTACCCCATTTTTTAACTATTTAACATCCTAGTACTAAAATATAGATCTTAAAGATTTAGCATGTGAAGTTTCAAGGTCTTACTCACAACGCTTCCTTTGATACACGTCGGATAGTTTTGCAATGTTAGCGAGCAAGATAACGCACGATTGTCAAATTATCAACTTAGTAGATATCAGTTGTCGATAGAATTCCTAAATTAATTCTGATGTGAACGATTTTTTTTATTGAAATGAAAAAAAAAGTCTAATAATTTGCCAGGAAAAGGTATTCAGTACTTTTGAAACATACTAAGAGTCAGAATTGCCGAATTTGTAAAGTCAGAATTAGCAGCTACAAACCTGCTGGCATGATAAAGAAGAATCAGCGCCCTAGTTGTCAAATACAGGTTTTTTGCGAAGTCCTTTTTCAAAAAGCCCGTAACTCGATCAAAAGAAGTATTCCATAAGCTCTGTCTTTTAGAATTCACAGGAAGTTTTGAAATTGCTGAAAAGCAACAATTACATCGGTTTCGGATGTAAATAGTTTCAAAATGATCAAACAATGCCATCCGGAATGCGAACAAACAAAGACAAGGCGATGTTTGCATGTGCTAATTCACACTCACAGCAACAGCAACAAATACGCAAGTCAACGGTTATGTTCACCTTATATCATCTCAATGTTCGTTTCCACCATTGCCAACTGATCCCACATTTCTGTCAAATACGGGTTTTTCGCAAAGTCTTTCTTTCAAAAAGCCTGTAACTCGATCAAAAAAAGTTTTTCTATACACTCTGTCTTTTAGAATTCACAGGACGTTTTAAATTTGCTGAAAAGCAACAACTACATCGTTTTCGGAAGTAAATAGTTTCAAAATGATCAAACAATTTGCAGGGGCGTAGCGACCATATACGCACGCATGTACGAAGGTGCGTACCTCAAAAATCTAAAAATATATCTATATTATTTATTTATTTCTTTATTCGACTTTGACGACTTAGTCATTTATTTATTTATTTATCGGTATTTTGCCGAAAAGCGACCTTTACACATGCAAGAGTTTTCTCTTGTATTGCTACTATTTTACGAAAAGAAAACTTTGTGAATATTGCACTATTCTTTTCAATATGAATTCAAAACCCTTTCGTCACAACCACAGTAACACAATGAACAAGCAAAAATAAAATGGATCGAAATCCACGAATCGCAATACAGACTCGATCTTTTGACCGCTTGGAGTAATTTTCTTCCATTCTTTGAGAGGTCCACAAAGGAATTTGACCCGATTTGACGGCAACGTGAGACGCAGTCCCCTGACGCGGTCAGGGGCCCGTTTCTCGAAAGTCCCGGTAACTTTTCGGGCCCGAAATCGAAATATAGAGAACAAGAGCGCGGGTCCTGGCTAGCAAAGTACTCCATTTTGCTCCATTAACTGCTAGTTTTATTTTGTTAGATGCAAAACTATTAAAACCTCTTCCTTGCATGTAAACAACCACAACAAAGGTGCCTCCTCCGCCCATATAACTAGAAATACGTGCATTGCAGAACCTCGCGAAGCTCGCGGGAGGCCCATAAAGGGTGGGAGGACAGGGGAGAAATGGAGTAAATTATGTAAATGAGGAGGGTGGGTCTAAAATGTACTTAATTTCCTGTGGATTAAATTTGAAACCAGTGCTCTGGCTTTAAAAAGGATCTTCTGAGATTTAAACTGAATTTAGACTTGCTAAGGAAGCAGGTAGTGAATTCTGCATAGGTCCTATCCCGTGTGCATCCCATTTGACCTTCCTACATGGGTAATTATGGTCAAAAGGAGATGGGGGTGATAGTGGTAACTGCTAGCTAATATGCAGTTGCATTTGGTTAAGAAAAGCTAACCCTTAAGTGCAATAATTATTTGTGAAATGTGTCAGAAGTAGTAAGTGGATGGCAATTGTAGGAGATAATGCTGCAGTGAAAACAACAACTAAATGCTAAACATTGTTATAATTCACAGATGAAAAAACCCGTCAGCCGTCAGCCGTCAGCCGTCAGCCCTTCATGAATAAAACATGTCCGTGCTGCCAGCAATTGTCATCGATGGCAATCCGTTGCTTGGAAAACCATGATGTGCTTTGACGTCACTACTCTGGATGACGTCAAGGCGGACCCCAACCAAACAGCAAAGAGAAAATCACGCTGGCCTTGCGATGCTCGTGAAAAACACGCGCGCTTCTCGCGCGACGAGATTATAAACCTCGCTTGGCGAGGAACGAAACAACAGCTTTATAGGCCCGTTAATTATCGGGACTTTCGATAAACGGGTCCCAAAACTTATGAGTTCATGGGGTGTTCAAGGTGCTCTTTTCAGTTGACATGTGAGTGGTAAATGGCCCAGAGATCATTAGGCGACTTCTTTAGCCGGAGTGTGATTAACAACGTAAATGAAACGGAACCAACAGAACTTAAAAGTTCCTTTTTGAAAATTTAATCAAATGATTTTAAAAAGGTTTTTTAGCCTCAGCTTCAAGAATTTTCGATTTACGAGAAGAGGATCTGATTTTTGGTTGTTATTTAAAGTAAAATAAACACAACTCTGGTCGACCGGACACTTCATCTGAGAAGCCTCCAGTTCTAGCCAGGGATATATGTCCCTCGCTTTGCCAACCCATCCTGTGTCAACCTACCCTGCCGAACGCAGTTGTTAGCAGCGACATTAAGAGACTGAAACGCCCTATTCGAAGCACTATGAGTGTGTAGGCTTAGCCACAAGTTGCCAATAAATATACCTTTTTGGCTTGTATGTT